TCTTTATAACTTGTTTTCAGATTGACACTGTATAATACGAATATACATAAACATTAATCTTGCTCATTACGATAGAAAAATCGTCCATACATTACATGCCGTGAAAGCAATCGAACGATTTTTTTCATTCTCTTGCTTACCAGTGATACCAAAGTATTATATTTTAGAGTCATCGGTATTACTTTTAAGGTGCATACAGGTGAGCATTGATCTCCATAATATGTCAAAACAAAAGCTTTATATTTTACAGTCATACAAAAACAATTCTTATTGCGCACACAGCTAACCATTTATCTTCTTCATATCTGTCAAAACAAAATTTTGTGGTTTAGAGTCATCGGTAATTATTTTTAACGTTAATTCAGATAAGCATTTATCTCTTTGATATATACCATAACAAAATTTTTATATTTTACAGTCATACAAAAACAATACTTATTGCGCACACAGCTAAATATTTATCTTCTTCATATCTGTCAAAACAATATTTTCTAATTTGCACTCATTAAAAATATTTTTCACTGCGCATACATGTAAGCATCTATATCCTTACAAGGTATCAAAACAAACACTTCTTCATTATCCAGCTATGGATGGTGAACATATTGTAGCTCATAATTATAAAAATTTGTTCAAAGCGTCGTGCTTGTACTGAACTGCATCGAGATAAATAAATTGCAGGGTAAAATATAATATCATTGTTATCTATATTTTTCTCTTATTAAATAAATTATTTTATTATTACTAGTGACGAAACACATATTTCTGCAGTCCGGAATATGAGATGGCGCACTCACTCTAACTGATGAATACCGAAATTGGTCCAAAGGTCGAAATGGTGGTGATTTGCAGCTACATGTGTAATTTGTAGGGTGAAATAAAAATTTATTTTTCTCGATATTTTCCAATTATTAAATGATATATGCTAGTATTATTAGTGAACAAGACGCATGTTTCTCTAATCTGAAATATTAGATGCTGAATGTACTATAATTGATGAATACTAAAATTGGTCCAAAAGTCGAGATGGTGGTGAATTGTAGCTACATGACTATTTTGCAGGGTAAAATAAAATCTTGTTTTTCTGTAGATTTTCCAATTATTAGAAATATCAGAAAATAGTAAGAATATTACTATATTTTATTTTATATTGAAATTTGATTTCTTTTTAAGGTTATATCTCAGCATGTGCAAAAACAATTTTATTAATATATCCAATATTATTTTTGAATTTTGTCCAAAAGCTACACTAATGGACGTCAACATTGAAGTTTGTTTTCAATAATAATGAATTTAATTAAAAAAAATATTTTTTTAATTTTATTTATTAGATCAAAGATGTTCCTGTACGTCTTGCGATACCTGGGAGTAATCGATTGTATTATATTTCAGAAGACATTGATGCTCATAAACGATCTTACTAGCAAAATGAAATTAAGCCTCATTTAGCTTTATCAGACGAATTTCAATAATGGTAAATCTGTTCTCTCTAACTCTAACTGTCAGCAAATGAATACATTGAATATTTGAATGTTCTCATCTTCTTTATTTTTAGTAATCGCTGTTTTGATTGTGGCGAAGTTTCAAATATCAAAAGTCTTCTTCATATTTCATCCGCAATTGCTACTAATAGACAGGCTTCGTAGCGACCCATCCTGAGGATATAGGAAAATATAGGATTTTAAAAGTAGTATTTATATAGGATTTTCATAATAATATAGGAAATATATAGGAATTTTTTTCTTCAGTAATACGCTTATAATAGGCTTACATCAAACGTTGCTTAGTGCTCATAATATCATAACTAGCTATTTTACTTAAAGTTGCCAAGAAATCGAAAACAAATATACATTTTTTAATTACTGGAGAAAATATTCGAAAAGTTCGATTCGAAAATAATTAAAAGAAGATATGGTCTCACGAGGAAGGTATACCAACTCGAAAATCCCTTTTGGGTTCAAACATAGTTGGTCATAAGTAATCAACCATGCTGAATCCGAATATCATAGTCGTTGCTGCTAATAGAGTCCTAAAGGTCTTGGATTTCTAGAAAAACAGTTTTCTATTCAAAAGTATAGGGGGAAAAATGGGTACGTAATATTTGAATTGCTTATTCATATATTACGTACCCACTTTTACCCATGTTCTTCCATATACTTGTGACTGTCATGACTAGTCACTCCAGTCTTTAGTCATAGTACCTCACGTCAGTGTGCTAAAACACTGACCAAAATAGTTTTTCATATGCAATTTAATGTGCTCTATCACCTAAGAACATCAGAAAATTATTTTAGAAAATAACAAAAATTTTTTTCTAATACAAAATTAGTTTTCTAGAAAACCAAGACCTTTAGGACTCTATTAGCAGCAACGACTATGATATTCGGATTCAGCATGGTCTATTACCTATGACCAACTATGTTTGAACCCAAAAGGGATTTTCGAGTTGGTGTACCTTCCTCGTCAGTTGGATTTACTTAGATCTGACCAAAAGTTCGTGCACATTTAAAAAAAAATATGAAGATAAGGGGATATTTTTGGTTTTATTTCATCAAGTGTTGAGGATAGTTGCCAGTTTTATTTATATCAAGTTCGATCCTTTCTAACAATTTGTCAAAAGATTTTTTGAAGTCTTTTTCGAAAAATTTTAGGAACTTTAGAAATCGCATGAATTAATCATATTTCATTTCTTTTAAAAATTTAGCGAAATTTTGTTCAATCATGCCAATTGCGTTCTAGCATTACTAGTGGTGGGATATGGGTTTATTTTATATAGGTTATTCATAAGTCATCTGATGCTAGCTGGCTTGTTGAAGATGAATCGTCAGAGGCTATTGTTCATGCAGACAAATTTAAACCAAAACTTTTTTTTGGTATATTCTTTAAATCAAATGGTCCTGTTTTTATACATAGTGTAGATAAAGGCAAGACTGTAGGTCACAAGTATGATACTGAAAACTATCTGAACCCTTTTGTTAGTGAAATATGGAAACAAACTCAGACATCAGATTAAAAATATACAAAAATGATTGAAGACCATCGTTGACTTCATACTCATCCAATATCATTATTTATATGACAGAAAAAGACATCAATATAATCTCATATCCACCACATTCGCCAGGCCTGATACTATGTAATTTTTGGCTAACTAAATCTATCGAACGTAGTTTAATTGATTCATTAGATGAAACATGATTAATTCATGCGGTTTCCAAGTAACCCTAAAATTTTTTTCGAAAAAGACTTCAAAAAAAATTTTGACAAATTGTAAGAAAGGATCGAACTAAATATAAATAATACTGGCAAGTACTCTCGACATTTGATAAAATAAAATGAAAAATATCTCCTTATCTTCATATTTTTTTTTGAAAGTGCACGAACTTTTGGTCAGACCTAAGTAATGACATATGTACAGAAGCTCTGCGTTGCTGTTGATCGAAAAAATATATATTTCATTTGAAAAAAATTAATTTCTTTTAAATATAGGAAATATAGGAAAAATGCATGAAAAATAGGAATTTATAGGAGCATTTTTAAATATATAGGAAATATAGGAAATATAGGAGGACTACGAAGCCTGGTGACTCAGTCAGTGACTAATAGAACCGGTAAATTAAAAACAAGTTTTATTTTCTTCAATAGTTTCTATGTATTTTTCCAGTAGAAAAAAATCTTTTTTCTTTAATTAATTTTCAAGTTAAGAGTAAAAAATAAGTAAAACACAATATTATTTAATTTGATCAAGATTTGTAGAATTTTATGAATTATTTTGAAAAAAATCAAAATAATTAGTTTACTTTTATTAAGACTAAAATAATTTTAGTTCTAATAGAAATAAAAATATAATAATCTTACTGAAATTATTGAGAATGAAAATAATGAAGATTTGATTAAAGTTCAATAGTATATCCATAATTAATGTAATAGTATTTTATTTTTAAATAATATATAATTTTTGAATTAAGCTACTTCAAAAATATTAGAGAAATTTTGTTATAAAGAAAAATATCAAATAAGCATTATGAATCGATATGATCATTGTAATCAAGGTCCTTTGCTCATATAATATATGGAGTATAAGTAACCATGACCGTGACTAAAAACGCACGTTTAAAAAAATCGTACACATTAAGGCGCTCATATACCTACATGTATATACAGGGTGGTCGAAAAGTCACGCACCAAAGAAAAAAAAATTAAATATCTCCATTATGGCTTGAGCAAATGAACTGATTTTTTCATTGATGATAGGGGTATATACAAGCTTTTTATTCATATAAATATAGCTAGGTACACCCTCTGTTAATTAACCCTATTGACTTCAAGAAAAAAAAAATCTTATTTTTCATATATCAAAAAAAAAAGTAATATAAAGAAAAGAAAATTTTTACAGAAAATGACGAATATTTCTAAGCAAATGAAAGAGAAAAATAGAAAAAAGAGTACATATGAATACAATATACGTTGTTCGTAAGTTTCTTCTAATGATCACGTTTTCCTCCCAATCAACTGCTCTTTCTTTATGTTATATTTGTTTTGTTTTTGATATATGAAAAATAAGATTTTTTTTTCTTGAAGTCAATAGGGTTAATTAACAGAGGGTGTACTTAGCGATATTTATATGAATAAAAAGCTTGTATATACCCCTATCATCAATGAAAAGATTAGTCCATTTGCTCAAGCCGTAATGGAGATATTTAATTTTTTTTCTTTGGTGCGTGACTTTTCGACCACCCTGTATATATATATGTTTGAATATTGTTTCGGATTAAAATAGAATTAATCTTAGATTTTATTTTATATAACAATATTTATTTTAGATATGAAAATCTATTATATTAATACAGAAAAAGACTATTTAAACAAGAATACTAATGTCAACTATGAGTAAGGATAATACATGATTAAGAACCAATAGCTTTAATAGGTATTTCATATGAATTTACTGGTGATATTTATTCACAAAATGATTTGATCTTGAATCATTTACTACTCATATGCTTAATATGGATAATGATGAGCAACTTCTTCAAAAACTTCTTCGTGCTAGTTATTTTATATCAAATCAACAATGCGATATGTATGGAGCAAGTTTTTTTGGTTTATTAGATGCTGAAGCAGAAAGTGTTGATCCATGCCATCAACTACTTTTGTTAAAATTTGTTCATTTACTTGATGATGCTGGATAGTGTCGTAAAAACGAATGGTACGAAAACATCAGTACATATTGGACAATTTACAACAGATCAAGCAATTGCAACATCTCGTATGAGATCTGAACATCGAATCAAGATTTTATGGACCAAATACATTATAATGTAATGTATCAACACGTTTATTATATCATTTTAATTTACATGATCCAAATGTATCATTAGATGTTACTTGTTCATCATCTTTAGAAGCTGTACATATGACTGTACAATGTCTTCGTACACATGAAGCTGATATGGCTGTATGTGGTGTCGATCATTTAGTGCCGATGCTAATCGTTACGATAAAGGTAAAAAGTCAATTGATTAGTTTTTTTTATTTAGAAATAAATTTAAATTTGAATTTTCTAGGTGATGGTCTTGCCTTTTTATTATTAAAATGATTAAGTGATACTGAGCCTGATGGAGATCGTATACATTATGTTATTCGTGGTGTACTTAGTGGTCACGATGGAAATCAAGATAAAATAAATTTTGTTGTATCGTCAGCTTCTGGACAAGGACAATTATTAGCAAATATTTATTCAAGAAATAATTTTGATACTCGAACAATCTTATTTGTTGAAGCACATGGTACAGGTACACCAGTTGGTGATCCAAGTGAAGCTAATTGTTTAGGTCGATTTTTTAATCGATCAAATCTTGATCCACTATTATTATTAGGTTCAATTAAAAGTAATTTAGGACATACAGAAGGTGCAGTTGGTGTTGCATCACTTATTAAAGTTGCTATGTGTATGTATCATCGTGGTATTACAGAAAATATGCAATTTACTTCACTTAATCCAAAAGTAGACGCACAAAAATATAGTTTACATATTCTTCAAAATTTTGTATCATTTCCATCTCTTCCAAATAATGAAAAAATAGCTATTGGTGTTAATTCATTTGGTATGGGTGGTACAACAACATATGCTATTATTGAAGAAGATTAACCAAATAAAACATCAATTGTAAATGGTCATATCGATGAAAATCATATTCAAAGCAAACAATATTTTATTTTTAGTTTTTCAAGTAAGTTATTTTTTCTTTTCATTCATTAAATAATTTATTTCTTCTTGACCATCAATTAATGATACAGATGATGATGATCAAGCTTTTCTTCAACGTATATCACAGTAACTTCTTCTTAAAAGAACAATTAGTTATCAACATTTAGCAATCTTTCTTTGTCTTAATCGCCAATAATTACAAGAACAAATCAATGCTTTTCTTACTGAACAAGTATCGCCAGACCTTTCAATCATATCACGTCCAACAAAATCATTATCACAGAAAATATGTTTTGTTTTTAGTGGTGAAGGCCCACAATTATATGAAAGTGAACCTTTATTTAATAAATGAATTAATTTAATTGATGCGGAAATAACAAAAATTAATAATGGTGAATAGAAATTATTAGAAGAATTAATTGAAAAAAAAAATGAACGAGAATCTCGTATTAATGATATAGATATTGCTCAACCAACATTATTTGCTATACAAGTTGCATTAGCAGCTTTACTTGTTTCATGGAATATTTATCCATCATCTATTATACCACATAGTGCTGGTGATCAAGCAGCTGCTTTTGTTGCTGATCGTTTAAGTTTAAAAGAAACCGTTCGTATGTTAGCTGTTTGAATGAGTGAAGAAGAAGTAGAAAATAAACTTTTGAAAGGTATTGAACATTTGGCTTGTATTGCTGTTGTTAATAGTCCTCGTTCAGTAACAATAAGTGGTGATGAAAAAACAATTGATGAAATACAACAAATTCTTTCCATATCTTATCCTGATGTATTCAAAGCACGTCTTCGTATTGAAAATGCATTTCATTCATATCAAATGAATCGATTTGATATTGAAAAAGAAATGCTTTCATCCTTGAAAGATATTTGTGAATATTCAATACAAGATTAAAAACGAAGTTTTCATCCAATATGTGCAACACCAAAGCTTTATTCAAGTGTTACTGATGATAAAATCAATGATAATATACCAGCTGATAGTCAAATGTAAGACCAACTTTTCGATTTTATGATACTATAACATTAATTATAAAAGATGAAGCAGCAAATGTTTTTCTTGAAATCTCATCACATCCAGTTTTAGCTACATCTATTCGTGAATGTTATGAATTAACAAATCAACAACAATCATCACCACCACTTATTCTTCCAACATTGAAACGAAAAGAAGACGAACAAATAACATTACTGACGAGTTTAGCACAACTTACAACATCATCTCATGTATGGCAACAATACTTTCATACTCGTCAAATTTTACCGTTGAAAAATCATGAAGAATATTTTGATAATTTTCCATTATATAAATTTCATTTGGGTCCATGTTGGTATGAATCAAAAGATTTGTCTATACAACGTTTAGCTAATCGTATACCTACTCATCCATTACTTGGTATTCGTCAATTAAATGAACAAACAAGTGCAACATGGAAAAGTCTTATTAATATTAATTTACCACAACATTCTTTTTTAAAAGACCATAAAATTTATAATGTAATTTTTTCCCGGTTGTTGGTTATCTTGAACTTGTAACAGCTGCTAGTCAACAATTACTCTCATCAAAAGATGATGGACAACAACCAACAATTATTTTTGAAGATGTTAAATTTGTTAAAGTACTTATTTTGAATGAACATGAATTAGTTGAAGTATTCATACAAATAATTATGCCAATGCGTCAATGGTATATTATATTTTGTAATTAACATAATCTTAATAAATATTCATTAAATCAATTTACTTTACATGCTCACGATAAAATTGATTCTGAACAACAAAATCATTAACAATACCTGACGGATGGACAACACAAGACATAACAAGTGCTTATCAATATGGATCTAGTTTTCAAAAAATAAAAACATTACATGGTACTTCAACTACAATTATATCTCAATTATGAAATGATAATAATAATTGTTCATCTTCTTATTTACTTCATCCTTTTCAAGTTCTATTACCAGGTGTTGAAACAACATTTCTTCCTGTACGTATTCAAAAATTTATTTATTCAACTAAA